CGTCCGACATAACCTGGAATATCATTATCGTTGCATTGCAAATACGACGGGGTACGTTATAAAAACCAGACGTTTATATTTGAAAAAAAAAAATATATTGAAGTTTTACCTTTAAAGCAAATTTTTTACTCGGCGTGAGAAAACTGACTCGAGGTATAGGTACACCGGGTACATTCCGTCACGGTACACGGTCCACGAGGAAAACTCAAGGTCACTTCGTGTCCGTTATCTCTCATACAGGGCATCTTAGCATTCGCGGTATGACGTCACCTCGCATATCTCCTTTTCGCCCGTTTAAGCACCGTTTGGTACAAGGAAAGACCGTTCCGCTAATTGCAACCCCATAGTGTACCTACGCTATAAAAAAAAAAAAAAAAATGCCTAAAATTCACCCTCTTAGTACGTTACATTCAATAGGAGACTGCAGGAACATCATGGAGTTAAGTCCAACAATTGAGCAGCGGTTGGCGAACCGTTTCGCGATCTTCGCTAATTGACGGTAATTGCAGGAACACGTTGCACAATGATTCGCGCCCAGTATCTTACATTTCGCCGTACATTAACCCTCCACAGCCGAATTTCTGTCCCCGAGCCAAGACAAATCTGATACACCGTTAAATTAGCAAGCATTATCCTTCTGGCATAAACTAACTATTAATTTACAATCTATATCTCCGAACTCCTTGGTCTAAGGTAGTTCCGCAACGATAAGGTGTTACATCAAGCCTTTCCGGAAAGATCAATTAAGATTGAAAACATTGGTACGCGGTACGTGACGTCAGTCACGTGGCGTTACAGAGGGTCGTCAAGTGAACGCTTTCGCTACATACGACTAAGATTTCCCGATCGGTTCGATAAATACTTCTACCGCGCAGTTGGGCAACCGTCGACGGTTGCTCAACGTTATCTCTTACCGAGGTTTACTCGGCTTCTTTCGACGGTTTGACACCTACTTCGCAATTTTTTTCTCAATAAGAAACAAGACATCTTCGAGTAAACATGGTCAATTTTTAATAAATCGAAGCTCCGTTTACGATTACCCCTAATTCACGTTTACCTTATTTGACCCTAAGCAACTAGGAAGGAGGTAACGGATAAATATGCGTATAATTCGAATAAAGTTTACTTACTTCGGCCGAGGAAGTGACTCCGTTCTAGCAATATTTTTTATTATAGGGCAGGGCAAAACAAAACTCGGGCGTTTCGAAGACCCCGCTGGCAACATTTTCTTTCAAGAATCGCCTTTGGAGTAAACATCGCAGGACGCTTCTTCGACAATTTCCAAACGGATTGGCACCTCGTCCACTTGAAACGAACTTGCCCGCTGTCCATCCGTTGGCGAACAACGTTTGCCCGATTCGTATTCGCCTCAACAACCGGGAAAACGTGCCTCTCCCACTTGTTGCGCCCTCGACATCGAAAGGAGCGAAACGCACCCGGGGTCGTTTTCGCGAATGCCGTTCCATTCGGTCACCCCGGAACGACCGCTACCTCATACCGCGCGATACAAAGAATCACCGGCGAATTACTAAAAACTCGGACAACGCGTTGGGCGATTCGTAAAACCCTTTTCTTGGCCGGCCTCGACAGCTCGAGACGCCACGTTCCGATAAATCCCATTCGGAATCGTATCTCGTTCCACCGCGAATCGACAATGGCGGCTCCGAGAAATGGTAAACATTCCCGAACCGATTCGAATCTCTCTCGAGAGAAGAGCTCGGCCTGGAAACAACGAAAACTGTTCCGCGTGGGTCAAAAAACCTCTCGAACGCGGCAATTGGCTCGCCTCCGACGAGAAGGAAAAAAACGTGAAAAATACCGGACAACCGAGGTCGCTCGACCGACCGGAACCGGGGCCACGTGTCGGTCCCGCTCCCGAAAGCTCTTCTCTCGTCCTCCGCCTTCGGGCCCGCAACGGAGCCTCGATCTTCGAGAGGAAAACACGCGAAGGAGAAACGGGCAGTGACTCTCAACGTACGTACCTTGAGCGATCCGCGCGAGTCCTGGCCCCGCCGGGAGAACACTCGCGCACGCGCGACGGAGGATCGGGCGGTTTCGCCCTCTTGAGGGCCGCTCGGAAATCGGTCTAGGCGTCGCCGTCCTCGCCCCTCGCGCCGCGCCGGAGAGGGCGGAATTCCGAGGAAGCAGCGGCGCCCGATCTCGACCGGAGGACGACCGGCGGACGCGTCGACGGTTAGCGGCGTCGGTCGGGTGCGCGTGTGCGAAGAGTCGCGCGGAGGAAGGACCGGAACCGGCTCGCTCGGCGGCTCGTCCCGAACTGGCCGGCCGAGCGGCCCGAGCCGGGAGACGCCAGGGGGCAGGTCCGTCTCGGTCGCTTTCTCTCTCTCCTCCCGCTCCTTCGCGCCGAGACGCCCCGTTGTTTCGTCTCGCGAGGGCGTGCGCCCGGTCGCCGGGTCTCTCGGGCTCGGTGTGAGGGTCAAAGGCAGTCAAAGGCGCATTCCGGGTTCCTCTCGAGGCGAACGAAGCCGCCTACGGAAAATGAGTTTGCGTCGAATCAAGGTTTACCCCCATCGCTCCGTAACTCGGTCGGTCGGCTCTCCTCTACGCCGTCCCCCGTCGCGTTCGTCGAGAGACCGGCCGTCTCTCCCGGTGGTCCCAGGCGAGGGAGAGGCGAAGACGAGGACGAGGACGGCCCCCTGCCCCGCCCGGGTCTCGCGATGGCAACGGGCGGTTCCTGCTTTGCCGACGCCGCGCGGTCGAAGCAACATCCTCCGATCTTCCGGACGCAACGCGTAGAGGTAAGTTTTACTTTTCGAGTCGCGTAGATGCGGCAGAGTGGCTGCGATTTTGTCCATCTCGCTCTGATCTCTATACCAACTGGATACCAGATATCCTACAAAATGGCGGGAGATTTTCAAGCGACCAGAGCCCTCTGGTTATGGGCACGTCAACTGATATCGCGGTATTTGCGCATGCGTTAAAACAACGCGCTATTCGACCGTTGATAGGATAAGAGGGGTCAAATTAATTTATTTGGAGAAAATAATCGTCATTTTTATTAAAATACTTCCGAGAAAAAAGATAACCGTTTTGTTTTGTCGAACATTTCTTCCGATATGTCCAATGGGCCATTTTCCTCGTAAACTATGTCCCTTCTGTCCTTTATACCTTGAACCGTCCACCGAATCCATCGGTGATTTTAGTGTCAACTAATTTTTCTCTCCGAGATCTCGTTTCGCTTCACCTTAAAAAGTACGATCCAAGAAATAATGCTCTCCTGTACGCGTGCGGCCCTGCGGACGAAACCGCACGTAAACGCGACGCCAGCGAAGACCGGTCGGCCCACGACCGTACTTCGAGTTTTAAAACTCCGCTAAATTTCCTTCGTGGGGGGGCAATACCTTTCCGATGGCATTTTTATTTTGTCAAGCTGCCCCTGATAGGTGTTATAACGGGATGGGCTGAGTAGTTAAGAACCCGGATTTTTTTTCTTAACCTTAACACAAAAGTGTCTTATTCGAATCGATCGATTTGAGGGGGGTTTCTCTTCACCTTAACGAGTGCGCGTAAATGTAGCTAACTATATATAAATAAAAGTTTTTTCGTGGTCCGTACGAAAATAACGTATACCGCGTCGAGGCGTCCGAAATGATGAGATAATTAGAATATTGTTGCCGCCACTCGAGTGGGTAAAGGATATTTACGGTACCGACCGAACTCGCAAAGAAAGCCGCACGCAGGCGCCGGATGATCGTTTCCGCTAATTTGGGCCCGAGAGAGGCTCGTAAGGTGCGCAGTTGCACCCTACACGGGTCTCGACAGCTGACCTCGAGAGTTTAGGCCCGGCCTGGGAGGAAGAAAAGAAGTAAATCGGCAGGCGAGGCGCAGCGGCGAGATCGAGTGACCGAACCCGACCCGAGGGCGCTTTTCGTCATTTCCAGAAGGCCCGTTTCGCGCAGGATGCTTTTCAAAAGACGAAATTTACCGGCCTAAGAGGTCTATTCGCCAACTACCGGAGGAATCGTTTCGGATTCAATTTCCAGGTTTACTTCCGCGTTACAATCGTTCGTGAAAGCATTCTCCGCATTGGGCGTATAGATTCGTTCTAAATTTTACCACGCGAATATGGCGGCCCTGAGATAGGTCCCGAAAGACCGTTAAGATAGCTTAACTTAACAGGTTGCACGGGCCATGTTACATTTTGCTTAAACGAAGATAAAAATGGAGGGACTCCGAAAGTGATTCTTTCGCTCGCCATGGTCGAAGGGAAGATTGCGCACATCCAGGTATGCGGTGCGGACTCCGAATACCAGATGCAACAGGTGGTTTGCCGACCATGGTGAAATACGTGGTGCGGAAAGTATCCGAGGCAACGCATCAGCGATTTATGGAAGGAAAATATTCAAAGACGGCTCGCGGATGCCGCTCAAAGGTGGCTTCGGAGTTACGCCCTCGGTAAAAAAAAAAGACAGGTAAACCGAACTTCATTTTGACACGTTTACAAGAAAATTACCTGTTCTATCATTGGATTTAATCCTAAATTGTGGATTTCTTCCACTATAAAAATTCAATTTTTTAAACCATTTGTTTATAAATATTTTCCAAATTTTTTATAAAAAATGAAATTTCACGAGCGTCAGGACCTTCCTTGTAGCCTCCATGTTCACGTTGTAATGTTTGAAACGATTTGGAACACTCAGATTGTAAAAAAGTTTCATAAACAATTGACCTTTCGGATGGCACTTTCACATCCCCTTAAGCCACCGTGGCTGCAATGGTAACGACTAAATTGCAGTAAACAGCCTTTGAGAAATAAGATTACATATGAAAAGAGATATGTAAAAAGTGCGAGTACGGGTATACAATTTGCAAACGTAAATTCCAATGAAAAAAAAGCGAAACATATAATTGGAAGAATATCGTTTACTGGAGTGCGAGGTTGAGTCTGCGCGCGTCTAGTGCGCACTGATAAAAATCTCAACATGGTACGCTAATTCGCGTCCGATGCCGGCATTAGTTATTCATTGCCGTTTCAACGTTCCGGATCGTTGAGACATTTATATCTAATTACCGTGTGCCGAGATCGCTCTATGGTCATTTAATCATTTTTACCATCTCAACGGTAATATGTGTTTCAGTGAATAGTGTCATCGATATTAAACGGTACGTTTGAAATCGATATGTACAAGTGACAATTGGTAACTATTATTCGAATGGACTAGACCGTGTCATTGCAACTGTAGACGTTACTGTCGAATTGTTGTATCTGTAATTTTCGTTTGCAATGAAAACAACGCTTGAAAATTGCTGATTGTATTGCGTTGTTGTATTCCGTTGTTACAGCTATCGGTAGTAATAATGACCGTTTACTTCCTTCCGCGTAGAAATGTAATGTCGTATGCAACTCTACGGTCGATGTTAGTAGGAACTAGTTAAATAAGAAAATTCGTTTAATTCCGTACAGGCAACAAAGGTGTGTTCGTACCTAGAGAAATACGGTTCTCGGTCTAAAGTTCGCAGAAAGATGCTACGTTATCTGTTTACGTTAAAACGTCTAGCAGTGATACCGAAAGGTTATCATCGGACGTACCGGATAACACTGGACTCTTTAAAGATCAGGAACTGCTAAGTAATGGCCAGTTGGGATTCGTCGAGTGAAACGTAAACTGTTGGTGCCTTTTTCGTAATCGAACGTTGCTTGTTATTGTCGGTCACGTGAGCTGAAAGGAGAATAAGTAAGTAAAAGTATGATATTGGTAAATGGGATCACGTAGTAATGGAAACGGATTAATTTAGAAGGATTAATGGATTTTATTTTTTGAAATGCAAAGCTAGACCACTGTTACACAATTATGAAAGCTAGTGTTTAGTTAGAAAAGAAGTGCAATTAATAAAGGCACATGTTGAAACGTTGGGGGCCGAGAACTTATTCACTTCTGAAATAGCCCCTCGGTGGTGGTGGTACTTAACAAAGCAGAAACCGACCTGTATTGTTATTTATTGTAGAGCAAGTGTCGTTGCAGAGAAATTGTCTAATAACTGGGCGTGTTTTATCGGGTGGAAAATGGTGTTTAAGACGGAACATGTCTTCCGGTTGGCAACAACATGCGGTGAAAATCGAGGCGCCGAAGGAGTTGCTGAAACCTCTCCACATTCCTGATAGGATCTTGATGGGCCCTGGCCCTAGCAACTGTTCGCAACGAGTGCTCGAGTCTCTTCGGAATCAAGTCCTTGGTCACCTCCATCCTGAAACTTTACAGGTGAGGTGGATAAATTACATACCCTACATATGCGTTTTTAATTACTCAATGGCAGATAGGCAAGGCTTTTCTACCGCCATTGATCAATTCTCTCGACGCGTTTCCCTCCACTTTAACCGTAACGGAACGACGTACTGAATTTCGTTTGGTCCTTCGACAGCTAATGGACGAGATCAAGGCTGGCCTGCGGTACGCTTTCCAAACGAACAACAGGTTGACCTTGGCTCTGAGTGCATCGGGTCACGCGGGCATGGAAGCCGGCTTGGAGAACATCCTGGAACCCGGGGAAACCCTGCTCGTTACTACCTCCAGTATCTGGGGTGAACGAGCCGCGGAAATGGCCGATCGGATCGGCGTCGACGTGAGTGTTCCTTCGGAGTTACCTGCAAGCCTTATCGTTCGAAATATGTCGAATCTTCGAATTCCCAGGTGGACGTTTTACGTGCAATTGTCGGCTGCGGATACTTTTATGTTCCCTGAGTGAAAAGGACAAGATCGTTCTTTATTTTAATATCGGAAAGTCGGCATCTACTCGCGTCGGTTTCGGAACAACGATATTCTCATAAGCATATTTACGTAAATAGGTACACTTTCTTGGGAATGAAATCGGAGTGCCGTTCTCAAGGGAGCAGTTGGAATCGGCAATGGTAACTTATAAACCTACGGCTGTCTTCGTAGTGCACGGAGAATCGTCGACTGGACTGAAGCAACCACTGGAAGGCCTCGGGGATATTGTCCATAAGTACATAAACGAATAGCATTTGCTTCGAGCTCGCTCACGTGTAATTAATAACGAGGTTCACGGTTTAACCCATTCCTTAACACATTTTTTACTTTACGATTATTATCGGATACTTGATTTGGTATCAAAAAACGGGAGAAATTTTTGCAATATTTTCGTTCCACTGTTTCGTTATTAAATCGTAACCACCATTTCTATCACACCCTGTACAGAAAATATATGATAAATATTTTGCGCTACTAGGGAACGATCCTTCGTTTACAGATATGGAGCCTTGCTGGTAGTGGACACCGTGGCTTCCTTGGGCGCCGAGCCATTCCATTCGGACGCATTTGGCGTCGATGTCGTCTATACCGGAAGTCAGAAAGGCTTGAGTGGACCTCCGGGGATAACACCGATTTCTTTTAGTCCCCGCGCAGAGTAAGTTGCGTCGTTATTATTCGCTAGGTTCGGCATAGGCGGGCCTTAAAGAGACCGCATTAAGTCACTCCGGTCTTCTATTCGGAATATCAAATCGATCGTGCGGCCTCTGCGGAGCGTGACCGGTGCTCTCGTGAATCACGTTCCTCTGCAATGAATTTTTATTTTATATCATTGCGTTCCGCGGATGACTCGTCCGCGTTGCGGCCGATGTTCCGCAGCTCCGCCGAGAAATCCCACGCGGTTTGGTTAATCGACATCTTGGAATTCGAGGCGAGGCAGTGATCATACCAATGGCATTTTGTTTCCTAGATTAAATCGCCTAATGATGAGTCCTAAAGATAGAAACGTATCGACGAGTCCGGACTCAAAACATGGTTTTAGCACCGATAGCGCGTTTTCAATAAGCTAGAAGAAACATTATACAGATTCAAGAAAATATTTCTCTGCGAGAACAAATTGAGACCGTTAGAGATGACCAGGGAAGACCCGGGGAAAGAAATATTTTGGTGGGTGTCGGCTAGGTGGCAGACGTCATAAATATTTAAGCCGACTCAAGGTTCGGCACGGTCTTGGCACGAAACTCAGCCGTACAAGTGCGATAAAGTCACGGATTAACTTACGATGGGATCGAATGAAATTCGTCGGTAAAGCAGAGCCCTTGTCGGCGTGATCGGGAAGGTCGTTAATTCCAGTCTGTCGGCTCGCCGACGTTCGGCCAAAGCGCGTAATGCGGCGCTGGTCGTTGCGTTTAACGGCCGATTACCTGCCCACTTTGTATCGGTACCGTAGGACGGGGTGCCATCGCGTCCCATGGTGGCCCCGAACAGGTGTCACTCACCTGGATTCCGTTTCCCTTCTCCCCTGGAATTTATTACGGACCGCCCTTAACCCTCGTTGCGACTAATCCGCGGGTGCGTGCCGATGCGCCCCAAAAGGGTCAAGGGATCCGCGCGATTACGATATCCCCTCGTAGGAGGATGTGGCGCCGCCTTTTACGCCGAGTTAATTCTACGGGCGAACGAATTAATTTGTAGCTCGCAACTCTTGCTAATTTGTCACGAATCGTCGATGTCATCGATTCGTATCGACGAGACAGTCGAGACGTGACGAAAACGCAGCGGGCATCGCGTCATCTGCGTACGGATGTGTGTGGCTGCTTTGGAATGATTTATAAAGCACTTCGTATGCATTCCCGAGAATATTCTCAAAGATCGTGAATCCACGGGATTTCGACAGTTTCACCGCGATCTTTTTATAATTATTTTATCAAAATGTCATATGGAACGCTTCGCTTCTTATAACTCTAAGTGCAAAGTCAGTTGTTCATAACGTTTAAATGTGCTGAGTTTCTTCAACACATCTAAACAGCGCGGTCGTGTTGCTTGGGACTCGAACGGTTAATGTAGAATCGGTTGAAATGTAGTAATAAAGCGTTTTATGCATTTTTAGGAAGAAAATATTCAAGAGGAAGACAAAAGTACCCGTCTTCTATTGGGACATGACAGTACTAGGTGAATATTGGCGTTGTTTTGGAAGACCCGCCCTTTACCATCATACCATAAGTGCCACCTTGGTTTATGGATTACGAGAGGCTTTGGCTCAGCTCGTCGAGGAGACCCTGCAACGATCCTGGAGAAGGCATGCAGAAGCAGCGGAAAAGTTGCAACAAGGGCTTCAGGAGCGTGGCTTCAAATTATTCATTGACAATCCCGAACACCGATTGAACACCATCACCGTAGTCGTGCTGCCCGATGGCGTAGATTGGAGATTGCTCTTACAACGGCTTATAAACGAGTAATATACCTCATATTTTATGTTTTGCGAAATGCGGTACATCGGACGAAACAATTAACTTCTCGGGAATAAAAAAATTCTTATATCGAACAGATTTTGACTTGCTGTTATCGACAAAATCAGTTGTACGGTTGGCTGAATTAAATTGTCACACATTTCAAACGATACCTTTTTGGGCTTAATTCACATTTACCAACATGTGTGTATCTACTTGAAGCGTTTCTTGAAACTCATCCATTTTCATTTATATTCTGTTAATTCCAGACACGGGATAGAAATTGCCGGAGGCCTCGGTTCTACAGCTGGAAAGGTTCTGAGAATTGGATTAATGGGGTTCAATTCAAATTGCCAAAATGTGAACAAAGTTCTTCGTGCTTTGGACGACTGTCTTCAGGATGTGATGCTGTTCAAACGGTAAATCAAATAATTTCCCATAAATATTTTAGCACAAATTGTTCCCATTTACCTAATTTCAACATTGTTTAATAAACTCGGGACACGAACGATCCATGAACATGAGCTTTGTTGATCGAAAACCGCGACATGAACCGAGGGTTAAGTTGTATAAATTGTTATTATCATTACTAGGTATAATTCTCTTTAAGCAGTTGATATCTTACGAAGTACGTGATCTTAAAATAATAACATACCGTTTATCGCAGCTAATGACCATTGAATTCGTTACTCCAAGAGATTGATAAGAAAAAAAATATTGCGTAGACTAAATGTAGAAACGTAATGTGTACGACACAGTGGTCCACGTGTATTAAGGGTCGGTAACGTGGTACGGTACCTTTATCGATATATTACCATGGTGCTGCAACAAATGACGTTACCAACGGTACGCGTAGAGATCTACTTTGGTTTCAGTGGCGCTTCGGTTAGGGCAAGTATCTTTACCGACAGGATTTAGGACATATTCGGCTACGTTAGAATTGTTTGACGCCATGGCTGTTTGCACAAAGTATTATAAGGAGATTCAACGCGATGGATGGTGGTTGGTTGTGACGATGGTTTTCATGTAACGTTTGGTCGACAGAGTCGCTGAGACGTAGTAAAGTACCGAGAAATAAGAATTAGACAAACCAAAATTACGTGAACTAAAAAGATGTTCACGTTTAAAAACGCAGTCCACTTTCTGCGATCCAAATAAATGCAATCAATNTAATAATGAATGTTTTTCATTTAATATTTTCCATTTAGAGAGTTTATATACATATGCACATACAGTCACATAACAACGAAAATACCGACAGTGTAATACAAGCTTGCCTGAAAGCGGTAGAAATCCATATATAGTCTCGTCGTTACAATCTACCATTAATTACGCAAAATATTTTAAATTCAGAACGTTTTATCCGAAGTGAACGACCCGCTTAAAGGCAATTATTTGAAAAAGGTTTCCATGCAGTCGTACAAAAGCGAATGTCGGCGACACTACATGCATATATGCTAATTCTCGCAGTACATCGAATAAAAACGCCGTCTGCAATTCCTCGTTTCGTTGCTCGCTTCGGACCGCGGAAGAGCAGCGTCACGAGACTAACAAATACTACATGGAAAAAAAATCGTCATCCAATAAAACCCATCATGGTTGAGTAGACTGAACTTTGCAAATTCAACAGACTTTTGTGAACTTTCTTTCTTAATTTCCAGCAACATTTCGATTCCGAAAACCCAACCATTGGTATGCCCTTGGTATTCTTGTGAACGTTGAAATTGCTCTTGGCGTTAAGTAGGCTTTTGCAACGTTACGCCGTGCAACCGTTTCGCGCAAAAATAAAGAGGAAGAACAGGAGCGAGAAAACAGCCCTCTGTTCCGTCTCTTTCGGTTCCGCTGCCTCCATAGACGGATCGGTGTACAGTGTCGAACACGAATGCCTTCTTTGCTATTGCTTTGATATGATGCCGCCAGGGCATGAAAGAAGGTATTCATGACCGACACTGTACGGGGTCCGTATATTCCACGTCCATGCCCGGAACGATCGGTGCATTCTTCTGGTTGAGTCACGGTCGTACACATAGACCTTGAAATTCCTATGGAGATCGCTTAACGATGGCCATAGTCATTTTTATGTAACTTTTAGCCACCACAGTCGGTGCTATATGGTACAGTACCGTAAAACGGAGATGCAAATATATCGTTGCTCTCGTCATTTGGCCGCGTTCCCCAAGTACAGAGGGCGGCGGAAATTCTGGCAATTTTATAAATATTTTAGCGGAATATTCCTGCCTCGTGAATAAACGGATCAACGTCACTAACTGGCCAATAATGTTTATTAAACAGGCGATAACAAAGTTGAAAAACAAAATGACAAGAAATGCTCAAAATTGCTTCTTCTAGAATCAATGCGACACATTTAGAATGTAAAAAAATCGTACCCTATCACGGAAATTTGATGGAATTTCAAGATCTTCGTGTACGCGATCCGAACCGATCGCAAGCCTTGGGAAAATCGTTCGAGTGGAATCGAAGAGGACCGACAAACCTGTCGTGCTCTCCACTTGCTCTTATCTTGTGACAATGCCGTCCATAGTTTGTCCTCTTTCTCGATAGACGAGGCACGCAACATTCACGCTTCATCGTTCGTGGTAATTACCGGGAATCGCATTATCATATAATAACGCCGCGTCTCGACGCTTTAAATAATACACATCGATAATATTAATAATGAAAATTATAATATAAAATAATAATATTAGTAACCATCGTCGCGCAGTTGTCTATACGTATGTACAATATATCGGTAAATGATTACTCGTAGCCTTAAATTCTACGTAACAATGACGCCGATCGATGCACATGATCCGTGTACCATTGTGAACGAGATGCGTGCGATCTTTGCTCCTCGCGTACCGGCATTTATAGGTTGCGTACAATTAGAGCTGTGTACGCATCCGAGCGCGAAGGCGGACAAGACAAGGCAAACATACGAGGGTGGCCAAACGATTGAAATGCGACAACCTGCCTCGGATCGTTCGAAACACCATTCGAGGCTGTTCGAATGCCATTCGTCGAGATGTCCGCTCGTTGTCTCCAACGATTTTGTTCGTTACCGCGTACACATGCCTCGCCTTGTCCCATACGCGTTCGCGTTCAGATGTGTACCTAGCTTGACGCAACAATTTGCACGCATCGTTGGCATTTCTTTTACGTCGTCGCACGCCGGTGCAGCAGCAGATCGAGTCGCAAAGCGGGGCTGGTATCGCGATAACGTGCAATAACGACTCGTCCTAACGGTTGCTAACCTCGATAATGCACGTTGGCCCCGCGCAAACGTTTCTGCATGGAATTTCGGACTTATGTATACGTATAAGAAAATAGAGGAGCCTCTAGTCTCTGTGAGACGGCGACATCTGACTGTGAACGTCACTGGACTGTCGGTCAACGTTTTAGAGTTTTCTTAAAGCTTGCGTCGGGGTTGTCCAGAAAGTTATTTCAAAGAATTCCGAAGGCATTCATGACTGCCGGAGTACATGCTTTTAAAAATACACTTATTTTCTTATTTTTAAAAAGGCACCATGTTTTACAATATACGGGCACGGGGTGATTTTTTCGGCTTCATTTCATAGACCAAAATTTAGCGGCTTCGAAGTTATTAATGTCGGATGTTTTATGTACCGATATGTTTCCGATTTTGATAATGGATCGGAACTGAATTAAATGAAAAAGAACAGGGATTACAAATTACTGAGAAGGAAGAATTAGAGTATTCGGCGCATTCGCCCCCTCGTGTACGTTTCGTACACAATTGTCAATACGGTATATAAAAACGGATTAAACCGTTTAGCCAACGTTATTGAGTTTGCAACTGCATGCAAAGTCAATGTAAATAACTCTTTGTAATAGTAGTTCCGACCGTAGACACTAAGTGCATTTATTCCTGGGAAGACTATTTTGACTCGCGCTAATAAACAAATTCGATGACCCACGTCATCGAATTTGATATCATTACAGGGTGTAGCAGAGGCGATGCATAACGTTCGCTCGATATAGCTCGATTCCCTTAGCAAGTTAGTTTTAACCACCATAAGTTTCTTACCATCGAATTTTCGATAACAACGAAGCGTACCGATTCAGGGTCTATTATCAGGCGCAGCTGCGTCCCAAATATTCGGAGTAATCTTCGGGGACTTGCGCGATTCCCTGAACCGCTGATGGCCATCGAGAACGTTAATCCTACAAATAAATACAACTGCGTTTCCCTTATATTATGGCAACGATATAATAACGAAGTCGAGGAAGGCTTAAGAGCGAGCTGTCCGCGTTTTACTTCATATTGGACCAGTAATTGCAGCTGAATTTCCAAGCGAGCGTCTATAAATACAAAAGAGAGTTTACTAACGATACGAGGGACGTCTATATTATTCCCGGGTTGATTTTTAGGCGATCTTGTAGAATGAAGTAGGGTGTGTCGCGGAGTGACGGTTTTACCGTAGAGCTCCCGCACGCGACGGTAATTCATTTAACCCTTTAACCACCTTGTACCACCTGTATGGATAGCTCGGTCACAAAGTGTTAATATTTTATCAGAATACAATATTCATTTGGTGCTTTGAATACGTGGGAATGAAAGGGACCACTATAGTGGCGCTTCGTAAAAAAACGTCGATCAGGCGGAAGTCACTTTAATGACGTTTTGTAATTAAAGGGTTAACATCCGAAGCCAATCTCCGCATCTGCGTTAAGTCGGTAGAAAAATGAAACGCGTTCCATTTTTTTGATCGGTCCACCTTTTCGGTTGCCCGTGTGCGACATTTTACAGGTACCCACCGTGAATGTTTCGATCCACTAAATTATTGGTCGTGAGCGGGAGCTCTTTGAACTATATCATTTTATGTGATATATGACCTACTTCCTCCAAAAGCGACGATACATCTAATTATCTATAAATCGAATATTACGACGCTATTATTTACAATAATTCTGTTTTGGCGTGTTCCAGGGAAACTTGGAAGAAGTCTAGACTCTAAGGAGAGCGGTTCCAGAAAGAAGAGGCTAGAAGCGGGACCGGGTTGGATCGAGGGACGATAAGTGTTAACGTTAACGCTTAAACCTAAGACTAACGACAATAACGGTAATAATAATAGTAAGCCGAAGTTATTATTAAACGTTAGCAATCGCATAATGATAACTAATGTCGCCGTCGAGGTTATTCAGTCTTCTTTGGTTGCTGGGCAACTTGGTAGGGTTGGTGGGTGCAGCGAGGTGGACTCTTTCCTTGGTCAACGTTTCGCATGTTTCTCAGCTTGCCCACTTTGTCTCTTGGTTTCCAATGGAAGCGGTTTACCGCGGGGTCACGTACACCAGGATCGTCGACTTCCGTTCAGTTTATCAGCTAATCGAGCCCAATTTATTAATAAATCGTCTTGGCCGAGTCTCGTGGGTGCGCGCTGCACGAGTTGGAGAGCTAGACGATGAATTCATAATCTCTCTTACTGAAATGCTCCTTTCCACTTGTCTCGTTGTTTTAGAATTAGTCCAATTCAGCGGTCAATCCATATAAGATACCCGACGGTGCTTCTTGTACGCACTCGGGGTCAGAAAAATCTGGACGTGTCCGGCATGGGCTCGTTTCGTCTCCGCGAAGTCAACGTCCTACGTGCAGATTATGCATCTCGGAAAATATCGAGGGAACGTTCACCGATCCAAGAATGATAGGAGCTTAGAGGGTCCAAATTTTCGAATTACCAAGGACCTCGTTCTCATTGAAAGATTCGGTGAAAAATGCAAAGAGGAATGCGGTAGCTTCGGTTACTCGTTGCGGGATTCAATGGGTTAAGCATTTAAGAAGAAACGTTATTCTTTGTTTAATTTTGTTAACGCCTATTTTTGACGGAGCTTTACCGGCTTCGTCCCCGGGACTGGATGAAAAGAAAAAACAGTGGACGTTATTTTCGTCTTTCAATTGTACATTGGCGGACACGAACGCCTTTGTCGCGGACATGGTGCCGCCAATCTACGATGGGAAGACATTCGCGTTCGCCAATGTACGATCATATTCTAAATGGTACGCATCCACGGTATATTCACGGAATGTCTCCTGGAGATTTATGCTCGTGCGCGGCTTACAGTCAGCGTCTACAGATGAAATTTCAGACACCGCAGTGAAAGGATAACGGATCATCAACAGATTTCGTCCACGAGATGACGTTTACACGAACGAACTTATTTTAATAGTAGGATCGGAGTGCGTTCGTTTAAATGACTCCTTAAAATGCCGATTGGATCCTGCGATGTCAATTTTCATCCGCGGACGCTGCCATCGCGCATTTTACAGCCGCAGAACTGCAGTTCGGGGTAAGCCTACTTATCGTTTCAATTTGGTTTCTAACATCTTGGAATCGTTTTACGTGACAGTCTTCAAACCCTCTAAAACCCGAGAACGGAAAAGGAACAATGTCACAATTTTAACTTAAAGGAGCTTCTTAAGGACGATAACCATCCACGCAACACTCGGGCGTCACTAAAATGCATTGGTACAATTTAGACGTATCCAAGTCGTTTGTTTCCGATATTTTGATACCTTCTTGTAAATCCCCATGTCTCGCTCAAATTAACAGACTTCCGTAGACTGTATTAATTTAATGTTCTTTTCCATCGGAGCGGATCTACTATCTCGGATTGCGGTAACGGTAGAACGGTGGGACAGACATGTCGTTAGATCTCGTTTCTTCGAAAACAAGCAATGCTTTATATCTTCTCCTGTCGAAAGTAGTTTCGTGGAATTTAAAATCAGAAAATTATTGAATATAACAAGCATTAAGTTAATATTTAAATAATAATTCTGCTAAATCCGTTATACTCCTATTGCAATATTAGTGCCTAATGCTAGAACGGTTTACTTGCACGTTGCGTCAACGATATCGAGAGAACGGTTTCTTTGCTATTAATACATATTCATTCCTTCATTCTAAGAACATAATTTATCTATTATGATTTGTTCCAATTTCAAGCGTAATCATTTCATCATTTTATGCATCAACGTAACGTTTTACCGTGTAAAGGAAAAAAGTCGTTAAGTCCACTTTTTACGAGAAACGAGGTTTTTAGGTCTTTGTACTCGAAACTTAACGATTTAAATTTTCTTTCAAAAAGAAAATAATAATTATGCAAATTTTTAACATCGATGCGGCCTCGGTACACCGGAAGTTCAGATTAATTTAAGACAAAATGGGCAAACAGACCTTATATCCAAGACAGGCTGTTGACAAGATCGTAACTCAATGAATTCCAAAAATCGAAATTGGAAAGTATCAAGGCGACTAAAGGGCGAAAACTGTACCCTTTTCATCCCAATTCGTTACTTTTCACGGTAGAGTTTAAATAGTCATTTCTTTACTCACAATAAGACCGTAATTTCGCATGCGATCATTTTGCCCCGTTCCTAGTTAATAAAGTGTAACGCGAGTGCACTTTTGCACCGTTCTCTTGGTACCCCCTGAGATGAACGGGGAGATATTTCAGGCCATTGTTTAAAAGCGAGGCACGACCCTTTACCCCCTGTAAAAATTGGAACTGCTTTCAATGGGGCGAAATCTTCGCGATCGGTAAAACAAGCTATGCGTGGGTGCCGCGCCGTAATCTCAAAAGCTTTAATTGGGGTTCACGGTATTCTTTCCCAACCTACATTGGCCCTAACGTCGAAATCGAAAAGGCGACGTTCTTTACCGATGGAGAACATTTCGCCCCTTTTAAGGCAATTCCACGGCGCTAGCGAGCCGTGCCTCCTTTTCGCCAACCCCGCTCGTCTCTGGCACCCCGAGGACCGAGGGCTCCTCCGGTGGAGGAACGATTCCGGGTCCGTCCTCCGGAAATCGGACGATCGAGCGTCGCGTGGAAGGTTTCGCGCACCTAGGCCCCGACAACGGGCCAAATTCCCTCGGAGAACTCTCTTGAGCCATTTTGCTCGGTCGTCGACGGTCGAGAGAAAAAACGCAACCTAGGTTCGAAGTGGTTCCCGAGGACCAGGCTCTCGGAGAGCGCCCGGGTGTCATGGCGGTGCAGTGGGTCCCGGGGCTAAGTCGACCCCGGGGTCGGGGCCGCGGTTCAGCTCAGCTCCCTCGGCGTGACGGAGTGCTTCTGGTGGTGGGCGCGGTGGTGGCGGCGGGCGCGCCGGCACTGCGCCGTGCAGCAGTCGTCGCCCTCGGCCACGGCCCCTCCGCGCTTCATCTGGTGGGCGATCGAGTTGCACAAGGACCGGGGACATCTCTTCCGGTCGCACTTCACCTCGCCGTTCTGCAACCGAGAGAAATCCAAGGGTTAGGGCCTATTTCCTGGATTTTACCCAAACCTACCCTGAGAGACAAAGAGCTGGTAAATCGAACGTCCCCAAAAACTAGACTCGCTAGATTCTCAAGTTCAGAAATAAGATGAATTTGACCATAAGAAGTATCCAAATCCTTCTTGAACAATGAAAACTAGGTAAAAAATAGTCAATTTAACTAGATTTTTCTCTCAGAGTATATACGTTTATCGGGCATACAGCGGCCCGAGGTTCGCGATATAGGCGTCTTCTTAAAATCGTCGCCCTCCCCCCTCTCGGCGCGATATCTCCGATACGACGATAAGTCCCAGACAAAAGCGGAAAGAAATCCGCCGAGAGACGAGCTCGGCGTTTTCGAGGAGCAACGGTGGTTCGCGTAAACGGCGTCCGCGTCGGGGACACGATCGGTACTAATGGTCCCATCGGTGTCGGCTGCTGGCCTCCTCTCGAAGGTTGCCCGCCGCGGCGTCGATCGCGATGTTCCGAGCGACTCGCGGAATACTAAATCCGGCCTGGCAACCGACGGAGAATTTCAACTCGGTATCCGTCCTTTGCATCGACACGCGCAATTTCGGAGTCACCTCGGGACTCGGCGAGCGCGGCCCCGTCCGGGATCCACCGCCTCTCATAAATAATCCCGAGCGACGTTCACTTAGGGATCATTTTACCTTGCATCGACATTTGACGCACTTCATCTCGCCGTGCGAGTGAATACGCGGGTGCCACTCCCTGCCGTTCTCGTATGGGCCGCCCATCGGGTATTTGCATCCTCCCGAGGCCAGGATCTCCTCCGAGGAGCGCCGACCGGACGTCGCGGGCGTCCCGGCCTGGTCTCGGGGGAGCAGATCTCCCGCGAGACCCGGCGTCGCCGTCGCCGTCGCCGTGGCCGTCGTCGTCGTCGTCGTCGTCGTCGTCGTCGTCGTCGTGGCCGTCGTCGCCGCCGCCGTCGCCGCCGCCGCCGCCGCCGCTGCCGCTGCCACTGCCGCCGCCGCTGCCGCCGGACACTGTCGGCAGCAGGCCTTCTTGTCCACCCTGAAGGCCACCTTCTCGTCGCACTCCAGCGTCGGGCACTGCATCCGCGGACACTTCACCTCCAGCGTCACGGGCTGCAATTTGCAGGACACGTTTCTCTTGGGTTCGATTCTCTTAAGGTGAAGTGAAACACGTCGAGAAATGTATAGTAAACGTATGTTAATTCCCTGCTGAGACATATTTATAATTTTACGTACAACCTTACGTACTAAAAGTGCTTGAATTTTGCACATTTTTTTTAACAGGGTACAGCTGTCGATATAAGTATAAATGCCCGTAACGTGGCCCGTTGATATATGGCTGTTTCGGGCGGCGTATCGTTTAGACAACTCTTTTTTACCGACGTCGATTAAATTTCCCGGCACCTTCCGCATTACCATAAACACGTTTGATGTAAAAAGAAAAATGAACTTCTCCGAGACGCTACCGCGTCTCCCGTTGCCGGTGGCCGTGAACGTCTTCCCCGTGGACATGGTGCAATCGATACCCGATAGAAAGGAATTCGTGCAATTTTCAAAATATATCTCTTTTAGGTTTGCGCGTTGCCCCCGATATTGATTGCAACTTGAGAAAAAAAGAAAACCACCTTTGGGACGAAATCAAAATGAATCTCGCTACCGCGTCTACCGACAATGGCGGACGCGAATGCCTTTCCCGCGGACGTGATTCCGATAGGTAACGTAGGATGCATGTTTAAAACGAGTGACGAATCGGCAAACCAATCATATAGCCGATCACTGATTAACTGTACGGTATACGTTCATAAGGGACATCGGCATCTGTGGCCGTTTACGTTCCGGGGTCGTTAGGTTACGTTTCGAAAGCAGACACGATTGGAATCGAATTTTAAAAGTTCGAAACCACTAGAGAGCGATGTTGGGATAAATCGAAAGAGACATGTGTACCTAATGTGTATGTATACCTAAAATGCACGTTCTATTTGAGCTAGTACTTTGCCATTGAAAAGAATAATTAAAATTTTAGCAGATGGTGCAACCCTCTTAACGTCGAACCATTAGCCACGCCGTTGATCGTAAGCCGTTACCACGATTTTCTATTCTTCGAAAGGTGAGCAAAGGGTCAACGTCGGCAGCATCGAAGGAATCAAGGAGTCTCGAGTCCATAAATAGGAGACGTAACGAAATTCTTTCCGAAACGTTCAATTCGGGGGAAAAGAACTTACATCGCAGGAGCAAATTGCACAAGTATCGAATCCCGCAGGAGGAAGATAAGGATGCCAGGAAGCTCCCGCAGGATGGTGTTGTCCAGCAAGGGTGCAACCCGAAGTCGTGGTGGTGTTATCGGTACCGTTTCCTGAATCGTAAAAGTGAATTCTTTGGTGTAATTAAAAAACGTTACGGTTGGAAGAAGGAAACGAAAAAGAGATACAACGGCTTAAACGTTGAGGAAATCGCTCGAACGCTCACCCGTACAGATCGGACAGCAGTGCCCGGTAAGTGGTTTGACCTGTTGTTCGGGTGGACAAGTCAACGTCGGACACGGGACTGGATCGCAATGGGCCAGTCCTCGGTAGCAATGGCACATGGAGCAAGGATCCGACGCGGAAGTCCACTGGGTTCCCTCTTCGTAAAACCTGGTTTCGTGGAAACAGGTCCCCGTTTCGATGTCCGACCGCGGAGGATGAAGGTTGTAGGCCACCACCGAGGCGACGTCGTTGTCCGCATAGTGCGGGAGGCAGCTGAGAGGAGCTCTGGTCTTAAAGGGAGCTTTCAGTAGTCCGTTGCCCGACTTATCCGTCACCTCCAGGAAGCCGATTCCAGATTCTATCCTGTACAGCTCCACGGGAGAGAGACCGGTGACCGAACCCTCCAGAGTGGGGCCAGTGAATTCCTCGAGAAGTCTGCGAGAAACCGGAGCGCCTTGTGCCAACAGTGGCATCGTTTCCAGATAAAGCTTAAGAGTCTTGTCGATAGTTACCAAGCCAGAAATCTCGACTTCGTAGTGCAGGGCACAGTCCAGGTCGACGGCTGCCCACACAAGGCCTACCGGACCTGGAAATACCGGCTCCGGATTCAGACGTCGGAGTAAAACCGGAGCAGCGGTATCCCTCGCGTCGGCCACGGGTCTCTGGACGAGTCTTCCGCGAAGGAGAGATCCAACGTGAGACGCCGTGACCACCGATAATTCTCCATTGAACAACGGTTCCAGAAGACGAGGCCCGGGCCGTTCGAGGGATCCGTTGGCGAGCCCGCCGACCAGAGACGGAGTGAGGTCTTCCAACTCCGTCCGTCTTTTCCCACCCTCGTCGACCAGCGTAACCAGCGGACTCTCGTCTTCCAGCCCGATCAGCTGGACACCGTACCTGAGAGCTCCCAACCTGTCCAGAAAAGCCCAGGCCAGGCCGGAAGCTACCGAGGGTACTTCGCTCGACAGCAGAGTCTGATACATGTCGCAAGTGGCGCGAGGCCCGACCAGTCCCGACAGTTTCAGAGCCTGAGGGTCCTTTTTGGAGGATATGCTGACGGCCAGTTTTCCTCGCGTCAGAAGTCTCAGATCGGCTCCGGACAGGGCGCTGCGGACTTCGCCGAAGTTGAGCTCTTGGGACGGCTTCTTTATTATGATCTCTTCTCGAAGGACCACGTAGTCCTTGTCCGGGTGCTCCAACTGGACGATTATGGGCACGTCGGCCACGTCGTTGGGGAGGAAGACCCCGTTGAAAAAGAGGGAGACGTGGACCGAAGGCGCCGACGCCGACGACGCCGAGACGATCGCCGTCGCTCCGGACCCGGCCATCAGGGATCTGTCCACTCCCGGGATGGGTTCCAACAAGGACGAGAACTGCTCGGAGGACAGAGCCTTGTAGCGAGCGAGGTTCCCCGTTAAAACTGCCGATGGCTCCCAGATCAGAGCGACGTGGAGGCGCTCCTCTCGGAGTAACTTTCTGTAGTCCCGCGGGACTCGCCTCCAGACTCCGCAGAGCTTGCCCGTCGCGTTCTGGTAAATCCCTCCGCCAGGATTGATGGTTTGCTCCTCCAAGATGTTCCCCGACGTGTCGACGAATTGCAGGGTTCTCGGCCTTGGGGTCGAGGCTGACAAATAGAAGGAGTAGTACAGATTTTTTCGGTGGAAGGTGAACCGACCGGTAGCTATATAGTTGTAGGCGTTGTTGCTGAATGGAGACGAAGTCGTTGGATCGTCGCGACGAAGCGGGACCGATGCTTTCCCGGTAAGTAGCGTTCCAAAATCTGCGCTCGTAAACAACGACAAAGAGAGGAATAAGTTATAAACTGAATGACGATTACAGCGGGAGGATGCGATACCTACTGTTCCGGAAAGGAATAAACGAGGAGAAGCTTACGTTTTAGACTTCTCTCCTCTTCTTCGGAGGTCATCTGAGTGGGTAAGTCTTGAACGATGTCGGCATCTGAAACAAAGTGAGACGGTCTTTGAGCAACCACGGCAAAGGTATGAAAGTCAGGGAGGCACGAAACGGAAAAGTTGATCGATCCTCTATACTTTACTTTCCGAAAGCAATCAAATCGTTTCATTTCGACGTGCAAAATTCTCCAGAGTCAGGTATTTCGGAAAAAGAACTCTTCTATCTAAACGATGCCCGTCACAAGTTGAAAGTCGAACCGTTTCTAACCTGGGCTTGACGCTGACAGCTTAAATGCCGGGCTATTGCCAGAGATAGGTAAACATTTCTAGTCCAAAGAAAACAGCTCTCCGGTCTAGTGTTTTATACGTGGCGCCACCCAATCGAGTACTTAAACTTGCATTTTAAGAATACGAGGATACACCCTGGAAAATGCAGAACACGTGGCTCAAGAAATGCTGGAACGATGTCGGTATTTGCCAGTTCTAATCGATGAAGTCAACGATGTTCGCACATTTGATTGAAAAGTCCCTCGGGATTGTGGGTCTGGCTTTTCTGGGTTCCTAAACATTTACGTTGCCAGTTGGTTGAATTTCCTCGAACATCGCGACTATCGTTACGAGCCTTCTTTTCGTTCTCAACGCACACGTGCTCGGACTAGACAGCTGCCATAAGGATCACGAGAAGGTGGCGCCACGGTTCGATTAGGAGTCCACGGTTTCGCAAAGATTTATGAAACCCGAGGAACGTGTTTGGACGGTCTACTTGGCGAACTGTTCCTAAATAAAGACGGATAAGCATAAAAGGCTGCGTCGGAGCCATTAAACGCGGTCGTCACTTAATAGGTAGGTTATCGGTTTCGTAAGCTACAGGAGCCACTGGAAATTGCGAAAGGTTCGTCTCGAATTGGCTTACGATTAGCCGACGTTCGCGCAGATCGGAATCTAACGGAGTGCTAAATCGGCGCCAAGTCTTTCGCGAGTCTAGACGGCGGATTTTCCCTAAATAGAACTCGATAAAGATACCGATCTTGAAAAACGACGCGCGTCTGCTGGCATAAAGCTGGATTCGAGCGTTAGACGAATGGTTTTCTGCGAGCGGGTCCGCGAAAGGGGATGACCGATCCTGGCTTAACTTGGAACATTCCAAGCTCCTTAAATAAATATCGTGCAAAGTTTCCCGTTTAAATGCATTTTGCAGTCGTGCGTCAAAGTTCCGAACGGTTCGATCCAGTGTCCTTAAAAAGAAGCGTCTCATTCGAGTCGACTGACTTTGAGGGGGGGTTTCGTTTCACCTTAAGGGGCGTATGCGAGTGGTCGCGGGTCGTACGAGAAGGAACGGAATATTTTTCTCTCTGTTCACGAGAAAAGAAACATTTGAAATGGAGACGAAGCGATTCAATTTTTGCGATAGGTTTCATCAGCGGTGGATCTTGACCGTTTACGTACATAGTCCGTCGAGGGGCTATTCGCTAGGAAATCAGTGAAAACGATTTCCTTCCTTGAGAGCCGATTGCCTTTGATTTCATATGATGGACAACAATGCTATTCGGGACAAGGGACGTTCGGTCTTAAAATCGTGACAGTATTCGGTGATTTCTAACGATTTCCAGCTGACTTCCGTATAATTTCCAGCTGATTTCCGTATAATATCCGTGATTTCCTGAGTGAATGTCCCCTTGTATTCCGTTCAACGGCTAATTCCATACAGTGAAAATCTATCTAGTCGAAACGGCGCCATAGGCGAGGCACGACGAGCAAACGGAAACGTGTACGAGAAAGATGGAATCCTTGACTAAATCGTAGATTTAGAACTGCCCCGGGAGGTCAATCGCCGATATCGGTGTATTATCTATGCGACCGGATATTGCGGCAATTAACCGACTATCTCGGCTGGGAATTGGCGCGTGCCAAAGAAGCTGGGACGAAAGGCGAAGCTCGTCGGTCCCCGAACGGACTCGAGTCGCGACGAAACTCATCCACTCGGGGCTCTCCGAGAAGAGAGCCAGGCGATTCGGGAGGACTCGCGGCAAAGGGGTAACCGTTCGGCCGCGACCGGCCATAAAGAAGACTCGCACGGGAGGAAAAGGCGGAGGCTGGCGCCAACCGGCGCCGCGACGTTGCTTTTATGGCTCGTGCCGCGCGTCCGTGTGGGTACGCGTCTTCGATGGGAAGACGCGAAACCGGTGCCCCTGGACCGCTCTCGCGAGCTCGCCCGAGTCCGCCCGAGCGGGACCCGAACACGCGTCGCGACACGGCCGTCCAAAGAGATACATCGTGTCGCGACGCGACGCGACGCGACGCGGCCAATGGCGCCTAGCGAGATCGCCGGATCTTCTCCTTCCCGTTTTCGGGCCTCACCTTTGGCCGAAACCCTCGTCTATCGTTTTCCTTTTCCGCTCTCGGGGAGAATCCTTACCTCGCTCTTCGCCCCCGCGCTCGCGAGGTAAGAAGAGGCTCGGGCTTTGGACCGGATCGTTCCTACGTCCGATTTCAACCCGTGTGGCTGCGAGCTCGATCGACATTTCGGTATCGTTGTCCCACCTTCGCGTTAGGAGCGAATTAGAAATTCGGTCGTAATATGTAGCGCGCAGGGGTCCGTGGTACCTTATGCCGGGACGGAAAAGGCTCAATGCGTACCCTCGGATGTACGGTCCGTTATTAAGAAGAAAGTTGCTCGATTATTCGTTACGTTAACTAATCGCGCCAATCCAATCGGACAACCGACCGCAACGAAAGGGAGACCGGTTACACGGTCCGCGACGGGAACTAAAGTCGTTCCCTCTATGCAGGAGAATCGTAGGTGGCGTGGGTTACGAGGATATGGAAAGAGAACCCAAAAGGAGGCTTCACCGCTTTCGGCGGTACATGAAAAGGAATACTTTACAGGCGACACGGGCTTCACCGGGCGGGGAACGGTCGTTATTCAGGATTAAGGCAGCGAACGGTCGGTAACGGCGCGTCAACGACTCGCTCTAGCGCGTCGGAGTAAGCCCGGGATTCCTGGACGTTCGAGAGATTCCGATCGGACCCGAAATCGCGGTAAATCCTTCGGGGCGCTGACGTTTATTAAGATTCGTACCTTCAACTGCGACCGAGGGTCCGAGTCAGCGCCTTTTTAATTCCGAAACGCCCGACCATTTCGGGACCGAGGAATTTACTCTCTCGACCGAGCTGATTACTCGCCGCGATCTAAATGTTTTTTGCCAATGGAATCTCTGGACTTCGTCGGAATTACCCGCGTTGCGAGTCGGTACGAGGTGGAAATGGCTTTGCGGAAATTTCGAGGAAATATTAAAGTGACGCGAAAGGCGCCGAGTAATTCAATCGACGTAAATTTGTTAACAAAAACGACAAACCCGGCGAGTACCTTGTCCCCCCCATGGGGCTTAACAAAAGTCCGAATTTTGGTTACCGGTTCGCTCGCACGGAACGAAGAACGCAGTCCTTGTAAAATCGTTGGGATCGAACGTGCTCGTCATCGTTGAACATTCGCGACCTTTAGCGTGGTTTCCCACCTGGGTCGAACCACTCCGAAGGATCGGTAGGTCAACCCGTGTTCCCGGCATGGCGCCGTCGCTACCAGCGTCGGAGTTCTCGCATGCCGATGAGTTCTCTACCCCGACTGGATCGGCCACGGTTAAAGGACGATCTAACGTAAGATATGCATTGCGGAATCTGCATACCGGCACGCATAACGGCGAGGTGTCCGAGTCGCGAGAGAAAAGTCCCTCGAGGACGCCGATGGAATCGACGACGTCTCGTCTTTCGAGGGTATCGCGATCGTTACCGCGGCGCCCGTTCGAATCGCGACGTCGTTGATCACCGCCGGGTCAAAAGATCGCTTCTCCGAGATCGAGTCCGTCGCGCGTCGCGATCGATGTCCGGAGACGATTTCCCGGCTTCGACGATCGCGGATCGAGCCAGTTTAAGGTGAAGCGAAACACGTCGAGAAATTTCATCGACGTCGGGAAAGAGGATTCTTCCGAATACCTAAAGAAGAAAAAAACCATGACTCCGATATCGAAAAAGAAGTAAAACGAAACGTAACTTTTCGTACCGATCGTGGGATAAAAGTGAACTCGCGTCCGATAAGATCCGCGAAAGCTCGCCGCATCCCGGGGGCCGTTGGGGCCGTCGGGGTCGAGAGGGGCCCTCGGCTAATTCGGTGGGCAGACTCTTTCGCGATTTACGAGAGCTTCCGTCGACCTTGGCGCCCCCGCCGCCATAGGGCCAGGCGTCGATTGGCGTCGATTGGCGCCGATCCGAGGCGGCGACGGCCAAGCGATAGGACGACGGACGCGCCGCTCTCGGGTCTATTCTCGTGCTCGTAACGTTCCCGACGCCCGTACGTTATGCTCGATCATTACGTATGCTAATATTTACGTTTAGATTGCGCGGCTTAATCGAAGTGACGCCATGCGGTAATATAGCCGGCGCCGTGGCGCTAAAACCGTGGCGCCTGTTTCTGCTTCTCGCGCCTCCTCCCTCGCCCTTTCGACCTACGGGCCACCTCCGCGGTCTCGGACGGCCCCCTGCGCAATAGCCGCGACCAGGGGTAGATAGTTATAATACGTCGTCACAGAAAGTCAAATGGCGATCGGAATTTTTCCGATCCGATAGTTTTCGCGAGACAATCTGTAAAATGTATAGAGTTTTTTTTCCCCGCGAACCCTCGGGGACCGAACGAGTCGTCGACGTCTGCGAGTTTCTTTACCGACCGCGGTCCATGTGTCAAGTAGTTGGAGAAAAAGAGGGTACCGAATCCGAGTCTCGCGGCGTCCGTGAAACGAAGAGCGCCTCTTGACGGTTCGAGAGGACATCCCGGCTGATTTCTGTAACGTCGGGAGATATTATCCGGCATGTGCGAGCGAACTCCTTTTTGCGCCGTCGTCTCGAGCGATCGAGCCAAAGGGCGCAGGAAAGGTAAGAAAAAATAAGAAAAAATAAGAAAAAATAAGAAAAAATAGAAATACCGGTTACGTGGAATAGGAAAAACGAGTACACAGGTCCGCATATATGAAAATGTCCGGGAATAGGAAATAATGGCCAGGGCCGATTGGCCAACGGATCGGTGGGAATCTCGACGGCGACACGTCCCCCGTTACGTCAGCGAAAGAAGCATCCCATTCGTTGATAAGCGCGAAAACGTCAATAAAGGAAGCTCGGATCGAGAGGGGTCCGGAGAACCCGCCGAGAGAAGGAAAGAGATAACGCGCTCGCCGATAGGAGTAATTGCGAAGGAATTTATTAATATCGAGGAGAGATAAGGGGAATGATTGATGCCGCGAGCATTCCGATGCCTATTGCCTCGTCTAGACGCAGCATTTAAAGTAGAATCGTCAAGATAGGATCTTTAAGGACTCGCTTCGAACGAGGTATTGTGTTAAGATTTAATGTCTGCCTACTTCGACGATCCTGGCGACACGTTTATGCCCGCGGGACCTTCTACGTTTTTCTCCTTCGTTCTTGCCAAGCCAATATTTTCCACCCAGCGAAGACCCACCAAGCGTTGCGTTTATTTATTCATGGCGGAAATTTAGCCAATTCCGTTCCAGATCTTAAGCTACCCTGGTTTGATCTCGATCTTTTCTAGGAGCGTCCGCGCGATTCGCCTGGGACGAAACGCACTCACGCGAAACGGTAACGAGCAAGATTAATAAACAATTGAGGAGCGCCATTATTCGATAAAGTCATTGCATCATCGGCCGAGTCGATACCCGATGCGAAGCAATAAGGTTAGGAGGCGCGGCAGCAATTTGCCAAGCCAAGAAAAAACCGAAAGAATGAAGCCGATCGGATACTCGGCAAGTAACGTGTCCGCGGTTAACCCATTAATGCCCTAAACGGCACACAATTACGGAAGATTCGTAATCGGCGATTGCATTAGACGACTCGAGACAAGTTTGCGCAAATACGATCGCAACCTTTGCTCGCGAAGTGTCCTGCAAATCATCGAGGCGGTGAACGCCCTTAAGGTATAAAGTCTTCAGTCGAGACTTCGTATAATTTCACTTCTCGATACTAAGCGTACCGCAACTATTAAACCAATATCGAGCCGTTGGATGCGGTCAAAGACCACGCTTTATTTCACTCGGTGACTCGATTCCTCCCGAATGGCAATCTTAACGGGATCGATACCTTCGTTCCTATTGCCAATTTGCCGTGTCAATTGAAGTTCAAGGTTGGGCTTTAATTATCTTTAAGATTATCCGGTCGGAGATAGGAACCTTCACCTTACTGGCGCACCGATCAATGTAAAAGTTAACTAACTTTCAACTTTGAACTTCAGTCTGTGAGATTCGTTACTCCGTCGCGTAGAAGCAATCGCCATGTCGAGTATGAGAAATGATCACCGTGCGTGACAACGAATACCGCGTTGGACGGTCGCGTTTGTAGCAACCGTTAATAAAATTCTTGCGTGGATATACTTTCCGTATCTATATCCTTGCACACTTTATCCGTATCTATGAGCTACGAATGAAATACCGGACATTGATCGGAACCAAACCGAACTATTCCGAAATGTTAAAAACCTTTGCTACAAGATTCGTACAAAAGCCAGGAGAATGCCCAACCGTTGAAAAATAGTTGCAGCTCCCAATTTATAACGAATCAAACGATAAATTGCGTTCCTTCTGCGTCCCACAAAAATGGCTTTAACGGGATCAAATTGTTCGGTTTACCAGCTCTTTTTCTCTCGGCGTGGCGAGACCCTGAGGAGGATCCGAGAAAAACAGCCACTTAACCGCTTGGGTAGAATTCTACATATTCAAGGCGAGAGAAATTAAATCGACGTCGGAATTTCTTTTTTGCTCGGTCGAGGAAAAAGCGCCGATCTGGTTTCCTCTTCCGGATAAACCAGATGCCGAGCGAAAACGATGAAAACGACGTCTCGGGTGCCTTGCAGATCCGAACGATCTAAAGATCTCATTTCATCAAACTTAGATATTACGATGCCGGGATAAATTCACGATCGCAACTCTATTAATCACGCCCGCTCGATGCTATAATTTGTACCGATCGAAAAATGTTAAAGTGTGCAAGTATCGGCTAATTACGCGGCGGGCTGTTAGGTTGATAGGCCAACAGCTGTTCGCTCGGAAACGTTTCAGCTTCTTCCAAGGAAAACGCGTTTCAGCGCCGGTTAATTCCCACGGGTCTAATCTAATACTCACTGTAATCTCCGGGGCAGGATTTACAACATCGCCCCGGAAGTAACACGGGTTCCTCGCAGTTCAGCTTGGGACACTCGTTCTTGATGTTGCGGCACTGGACTCTGGCGACGATCCGCCGCTTTTTCTGCACCTGAAACACGCCATTCGGAGGTTCAACGACCTGCTTTTCTAACACGCCACATATGCTACGTTAAGATCATCCGAAAGTGGCATTCGAGGGATCGATCGTTTATGAAACTTTTTTCCGAACTGGCGGTACCGAATTATTTTCTTTCACCGCGTGAACGCGGAGGCCCCGACGAAGGTCCCGATACCCACGAAATTTTCTTAATACATTCCGTGGATAATCCATTTCGTGGACATCGTCAGCTTCAAAAGCCAAGTGATGAGAAGTTAGTATGGGGGGGAATTGGGTTTGTAAAAAAAATCTTAGTGCAGATTTTCTCCTTAACGGTATACTTGGTTCCATAAATACAGCTGACATCGTATCATGTGATTGAACTTCTCTACTTTGCACGGGGTTTCATGTGCACGGTCTCCGCTATCACCAGTCTCCTCGCAGGCGCCATCCGATAGGCTTATCTACACATTAGTACGACGTAAATCAAGTCGATGTTGCAATTTAAGCGGGGTTAAAAGACCATAGTTTTAAACAATCTCCTACAAATAACGGAAAAATCGCATTTCCTCTATCGAATGCACTCAGAAATCGAGGTTGATCGTTCTACGTAAAAAGAGTAGGGCAGAGTGGCGTACTTTGAGCCATATTTTCTAACGATCGTTATATCTTCCGTATCGAGCCTCCACTCGCGGTTCTTGTGGACTCGATCGATATAAATAATATATAGGGTGTGTCTTACGAAAGGAATAAAATCGGAAGGGCACGGTTGGTTCGGTTATTCGACCAATCGGGCGAGTCGTCGGGCGAGTGGGGACCGCTCGACACGAGTCCGATAGCGTCACCGAGAGTACCACCGTTGATCGTGATTTGCGATTCGTCAACGAGTGGGCGGGTCGTCGCGGCAACTCGGTCTCAACGAATTTCGACCGTTTCTAAGATTCACCCTGCGTATATAAAACTACGACACAATGAGAGAAAAACGGTTAAATTAACTGTTTTTAAGGTGACGGGAAACACGTCGAGAAATTTGATCGACGTCGGTAAAAAAGTAACCGGAGAGTGCCACTCTGCGCCGTCCGTGATTTTAGTGGCATCTAAATTTTCGCTCCGAGACCTCGCGTTACCTGTTTTAGCACGGAAGCGCATGAGACACTTTTTTGCCTTCACGCCGTTCGAATGCGAGTTTCTCGATACCTTGAGTGTTCTAAATCGTTGGGCAATTGTCCTGGCATCTTCGTTTTTCATATCGGAGCCTTCGATGCTTGTATACCGATCGAAATATGAGAACTCGACGTCATTTTGGTTCTGGTTTAGGCGAAGTCGGCGATTTTTTTTTTCGAAAATCCAAATTTTGAAAGTGTCAGGACAATTCTTAGGTGATCACGAGGCATGTGTCAAAGTTTCGGGCAGGTCGATTCGATACCCTTAAAAGAAGCGTTTCGGTCGAATCGACTTATTCGAGAAGGATTTCACTTCACCTTAATTGATCTTATGAAAACCGAGCGGAATACTCGGGGTTTGCGGCCGCGGAGTGGATTAACCTCGTTGGTGCATCGCGCACGCGCGAGGCGCCGCGAATCGCTCGCAACGACGGAAATACCGAGAGAAACCAGGGGAGGGGAAAGAGCGAGAGACTTCGCGCGACCGTCCCGAGTGATTCACGCGACGTCTCTGCCCCAGGGAACCTAACCTATCAATAGCTTCTCATACACGAAGCGCGCCTGTCATTCCTGCGAAGTCTAAAAATACGATCGCGCACCGACCACGATTCCAGACCGACGGCGCATGCGCGCTCCTATTTTGCGCTCCCTAATAGACTCGCCGCTGTCCGAACTCGCGAGAGGAGAATTCCCGCGGCCGAACCCTTTGAACGTACGAACGACCGAGCTACCCACAGAACTTATGAATATGGAGAGGCCACAGGTAGGAGACGGTAAGACGGAGAGATCCCTTCTCTTTCTAAGTGTTACCGGAAGTTCTCGTTACGCTAGCGTAGCATAGTTCGGAGAAAAGTTTCATAAGCGAGACCTCCTTGACGCCACTATCGCGTCGCCTTGAGCTTCATTTTGTAAGAAAAGAAAATTGGTAAAATCAAGGTCAAATGATTAAGGATTGTATTACATTTGTATCGATTTCATTCGGTCAACGTTCCAAATTCGATGTTCGATAGCAGCGGGTAAAATTTAATTTGAGAGAAGCATTTCCATTTTTCTTAAAATGTCCCTTCTTCGCTCGCTGTACGTAAGGTGAGGCACGCATTCGTGATATAAAACGGACATAAATCTACGCGAATAAAAAGTGCGTCGACGCAACTGAGAGGCGTCAAAGGAGGTCACTTAGGAATTACCCAGCGTGACCACTTACGTTCCGGTGAATTTAATTACCTAGAGCTTAGGACAAGGCGCGAGAAGGGAACGTAGGCGGAAAATGACGATTTCCAGGAGGAAAATACTGGCGCCCCGATTCCGAGAGGGATAACCGTCCGCCGTCGACCTTGCACTTCCGGAGATTGGAGTCTTAGAGCGTCGCGTTTCCGCGTAGCGCGGGATTTCCAGATCACGGTACGCGTACACTTATAAAAATCGATGGAAATTTACATACACTTTTACCCGCTTCGTAACTTAAGATGAAAAGAACCCCCCCTCAAGACAACCGATTCGAACGAGACACTTTTTTTAAGGATATTGGACCGAACCGTGGGAATCGTCAGCACTTAACCCTTTTTAAAGTGGCTTACCAAAAGTAGAGTAAGTAAAAACACGTTGCAATGATAGTTGAGAATATTTATAAGGTAACCTGCCTATTCAAAAATGATAAGGAACTTTGCTACGAATACTGTCACCGTTCCTACACATTCGTATCAAAGCCAGGAGGATGCTCAACTATTAAAAAATAGTTGTAACTCCCAATTTATAGGAAATCAGACGATAAGTTGCGAAGTTAAGAAAAATCGTTCAGTTTGCCAGCTCTTTTTCTCTCGGGGTACCATGTGGGTGCGCGGGTCGGGTGGTCGTACAAGTGGCTACGCGAGTGACGCTTCCCAGCGTTTACGGGCACCTTGCAAGGCGGCGGCGCGGTCATCGGTTATGCCTCGATGTCGTCGTTCGCTTCGCGTCAGTTTCGCCGCGTAACAGACTTTACGAGTACTCCAACCTTGAGGTGGGTGACGGAAAGTCTAGTCGTCACGGACGCAAAAAACGTCCAAGGTCCCCATGCGTCGCTGGCCAAGTAAATCCCGAGAAGACGGAACGGAGTGCCCCGTTTGCTGAATTCGCATTAACCCTTTCTCCGTAGCGGAGCCTAAAGGTCGGTTCGGACGTTCCGTACCGTGTGCGTCTCGTCCGCGTCTCGTCCGCGTCCGTGCACCGATGGAATTGTCATCTTTGGAGATTTACATTCCAGTATTCGTCTATTTACGTATCCGTACGGACCCGATATGAAAACGTACGATTCACGCTATACGGCAGCAAAATATAAATCTCAGATGACGTTCTTCGGATACGGCACGGATACGTTTGAATCGGCTTTAAGGTGAAGTGAAACGCGTCGACAAAATTTGATCGACGTCCTTTTTTACCAACATCGATCAAATTTCTCGATGCGTTTCACCCTCCGCCTTAATACGGAACTCGCATGACGTACGCTAACCGTTCGGTCGTGGCCGATGCTACGGAAGTCGTCGAAACATTGAACCGCGATAAAGATCGGAACGCCCGTAGGCGCCGATAGCACGCACCGAACAAAATTCCAGGACACCTATAGGCGCCAACGGCACGTACCGAATGAAATGTCGAAACGTCTACTTATGTCAACGATAGCGAAAAGGTTAAGGGCGTTCACCGCTCCAGTGATTTGTGGTGCCGCGTGCTCGCAGAGATCGCGAACCGATTGAATAAATCAATCATTCGTTTCAAAGGTAAAGGTTAGAGAATTTCGAGAAGGGGTTATTTTCATATAAAAAAAAAATGAAATTCATTGGTGCCAGGACCTTCCCCCTATAGTCTCCGTATTCACTTTGTAAGATCTAAAACGATTCGGTACACCCAGTTCGAAGAAAAGTTTCACGATCGATTGACCTCTCGAATGCCAAGTTCCACTTTCACGTCCCCTTAATAACAAACATTGGAAAACTCGCTGAAATTTCTAGTTGGAACGTGGCTGGTAAGTCACGACTACGATATATCGCGCATGCACACGCATACCCAGCGGTCGTGGCATAGGTGAAACGTTATAGCTAGGAATTCCGAGCAGACTTTTTATTTCCGATGTCCGAGTAGAACCAACGACTTCCAACTTGCGTGTACGCGTAGAAATGTGTTTAGACGTGTCAACGTTTCATAGACCGCGTGCTATTTCGGACGTATACTCGAAACCGTGGCTTCTGAGCCGTTAAGTCAACATACACGCCACGATAAATTCTACCGAGTTTGCACCTCGAAGCCAACATGTACGGACAACATACGCGTCCGGGAGAGTATCAAAAAGGAATTTAACCGGTATCGTCCTGGCCACCTTTCAGCGAGAAATCCTACCATTCCAAAACTACTTCCATATTCGAGTTACCATTTTTCCGAACCATGTCGTGTTAATTCGTTAAAATTAATCACCGAGGGTAGTAGTCGAGGTTCCAGAGATTGGCCGACAAAGACCGTTCAGATTTCTGACTTTTCTTTAGAGATTTCTACGCAAAAATGTAACGTTAATTCGATATAAATTCATCTTGGTTAACGGGCTGATTTCCTAGGCCAACCGAGCGTATCGGTATTCGTAATAAAGGCGACGAACCAGTATATTGTCCACCTGGGAGAGAAAGTAGGCATTTGTAGGATACGCGTGAAACTTTCGGCACGAATCGAAGCGGGGGCACGAGCGCAGTCGGATGCTGCAAATTTTATACGTATGGCCACTTGTCCCTGAGAACGATTTTTTTGCAAAATCCTTAACACTGGAACTACCAGGACCAGGGAAAATGACTGGCTTCAAATGGCCCATCCTGTACAAAAGAAAATCCGCCGGTAGTTCTAGCGTTAAGGAAAATACGGTTTCCAGTCGATTTGCGAATCCCGTCGGCTTCGCGGCCAATACGTGCCAGCAGGCTCGAAAATAACCAGGGAGGGACGAAAGCGAAAGTGAAAAAGTTCTAGGCAAGAAAGTAGGAAAGGCTCGATTTGCGCATGCACAGGCGTTGCTTCGCTCCTACCGTCTCCCCGGTCTGCCGCTTTCCGGACGTTTTCGGGGGTGGAAAGTCGCACTTTCCATGCGAGTGTTGCGAAAAAAGTAACGATCGAGTGGTCGTTACTTTTTTTTACGATCCGTCGACGCCGTCGAACGAACTCGCGGCGGCCATAAAGCCCATGTATAGCCAAAGCGAAGTCGAAGAGAGTCGAGTGGAGTCGAGTGGAGTCGAGTGGAGTCGAGTGGAACCGAGCGGGACCAGGGGGAGCCGGCGGAGTCGAACGAAACCGATCCGAACAGAGCCGAGCCGGTAGGGCGAGCGTGAAAGTGGGCGCGTGCACGACCTTATCGGCCGAGCGCGTAATTGGATCTCTCCCTCGCTTGGCACCCGATAGGCATCGCGCTGGGTAAGTGCATCCGTGAGAGGGCATTACGTTATCGAGGATGCACCCCGCGCCGGCGGACACCAAAGTGGGTATCGTGGGAATGCGTTCGATGCATTGGACACCGGAAGACCGGGTGGTTACAGGGCCTATTTGCTCCCGGCACTTTGTCAGCGGATCCGACCAATCGATGTAATCCGTCGCGGCTGACGGTTTAAGGTGAAGCGAAACCCCCTTCGAATCAGTCGACTCGAATGACACTTTTTTTAATGGGCATTGGATCGAACCGTTCGAAACTTCGAGTATGCCATTTAGTACTATATGCAATATATTTCGAAAAAGCTGTCGATACAAGTACGAACGTCGATAACGTGGGTATTTGAAAAAATTTTTTTTCCCGAGGTCGATCAAGTTTCTCTACGTGTTTCGCTTCACCTTAATATATCATGGGATTATTAAATCTCTACCGTCCGTGTGGGTCTCGGCGCGTCATCGAGGAGCGAGGCCGTCGGCAGAAATCCTTGCGACGGATGTAAAGCCGTAGCTTCGGGCGAACGTAACCTTCCGCACGGCCGCCGTCTATTCTTACGGCCGAAAGTGCAGGAGAGTCGACGTAGGCAGGGCCGGCATAACGAGATGGGCCTCGGCGACGGAGTGCGGCCGAGTCACGTGGGCCGGCCGGCCTCACGTGACCGGTCGCCGACCAATCGCGTGGGAGGCGAGACGATCTCGCGTGGGACGCGGCTAAGGGAAGTACGTGGATTTTCGAGGCGCGGTACTTAACCCAACTCCTTTTTTGCTCCTTCGGCGCCAGGGAAACGCCGATTAAAGCCGGCGAGCCCGAATCGACGTCGACGTCGATTTCCGGTCGAGCGGGAATTCCGCGTCCTCCGCTTCGCCTTTTCCGTACATATATGCGCAAGGAATTCACTTTTAACCGTTACGTGTATCGTTATCGGGATCGTTTACTCTTAGGAAAGGAATGGGTACTAGATTATCTCAGAAATGTGAAACCGTCAGGATACGCATAGATCTTGTATCTCGATCTTAATTCTTTCGAATCCCTCATCTTCTGGCATGAATGAACTTTTCGCTCTGCGACGTTGATGCTCGAAACGCCAAAACGGCAATGAATTGAAAAAACATGGCGAAACTCAAGGAAATTAAATAATACTCGTTCATATTAATTTCATTCGACGTACTTTTTCATTAATAGCAAGTAAGCATATATAGAGAGGATTTTTCCGCTGGGCGTAAGCCACGCTATCACCTATCACCCGTTCGGTGGCAATCGATTATCCGCAATCAACGCGCCGATCTCGTTCGACAGCCCCCGGCGTCCTTAAACGCCGGCGCCTATGCCGATCGCGATCCACGAGCACGATCGCCTAAGAGAAAGTCGACTCTCATTGGCCAGGGAGAGCATTTGCTTTTTTCAAACGTCGTCGGTTTCCGGGCCGATAGCATTGCTACGTCTACCGCTCCTTTCAAGAGTAATTCTTGGGAATTCTATGCGAAGGATCCCCAATTTCTCCACTATTTCTCCACTATTTCTGGTCCAAGAACGATTTACCAAATCTCGAAGAAAGGGGTCGTTGCTCGACAAAATGAAACGTTTTTCTATGGAATAGAAGATAACTTGCTGATTAATCGGAGCACTATCTAATCCATATTAAGGTGAAGCGAAACCCCCCTCAAATCGGTCTACTCGAATAAGACACTTTTTCTTAAGGGTATTGGATCGAACCGTCCGAAACTTTGAATTCCTCTCGGATGTACCATTTAACTAAGCATTATTCACTAAAATGGGCATTTCTATACGCACGTAAATTATGAAATAATTGTTTAGCGATTAAAGGGTAATTTTGGGATTAAACGGCGACTGCGTAAATAGACTTCCGGTAGGTTACGCGTTGACGCGATATGACTTCGGACGCCGATTGTTAGTAGCAGCGATTACGTATGGGAAATACCTACGTGGAATAAAGTCAATACATACCGGAATGCATTCGCATTTGATGCAATACATGACGCCAAAGGGCGGTCCTAAATCGGCGAACCAAGTCGAGCCTAATTCTCGTATTTGCTTGCCAAACGTACATTCTGAAACAAAACAGAATCAAGAAAATACTATTTATTTATACTCGGTTACTTTACGAAAATTGTCTATTAGATAAGGAAGATGTGCCAAAACTCGTAGGAATCTCTCATCCTAATGGAACGTGGCAGTTTCAAGTAAAAACTTATGCCATTGCTTCTCCTCGGATTATTGCTTAGCGAGTTTTTAATTAACAATGTTAACCAGTCCCGAACGCGCAATTCAAACGTAACGGTACCGATGACGTAAAATATCACATTGTAACTACTCACCACTTGTATTTCATGTCTAATTAATGAATTATAAAGACTTATAGTACAAGTTTTTACCATTTTCGAATAGTTAGATTACCTTTTAAATATTGTCAACTCTCGTTGCAAGATATTGTTATTTACTCTACTTTTAGTAACTGCAACGATATTACCGGTACAACCGTTTACCATTGCGGTTTGGTTAAATCAACTGCCAATTTATCCCGAACGTTCCCGAAAACTTTGTTCAAATTAGTTTCGACGGTACCGATGGATGGCGAGGCTTCCTCGCGAATGATGCGGATCGCTCGTTTGCATATAAGATGCGTCTCCATCTCTGACGCTAAGGTATGCAAGAATACCGACAGGTCGAGCATAACAAGGAAGAAAGAAAGAAGGTAAAAAAAATATAGCAAACTTTGCTAGATTGCCTAGTTCAGAAAAAAAAAAAGTTAATTTTACCGAACAACGTATTCGAGTCCTTTTTGAACTATGAAAACTAATTAAAAAATAGTTGATTTAACTAGATTTTTCTCTGAGCGCGGACGGACCCCCTCAACCCACAGGAGCTGCCGACGCGCATCTTATCGGTGTTGGATCCGCGTTTGGTCGCGGTTTGGTCGCGGTTTGATCGAGTTTCATCGGCGTTTCCCAGCTCGGTGGTCTACGGACGGCGAGCCAACGAGAGAGAGAAGGCAAGAGACGTCGGATTCGGGGAAGCCTCGTCGCTCGGCCTGCGGCCGATGAATAAAATATCCTTCGGTTTTCTAGGGGCAGCAACGTGGCCGACCTCGCTTGAAATTCAACGGGCGCCAGTTTCGAGGACGCGCGATGCATAACGAATGCTCCCGCTGACATTGCTATCTGGTTACGTTACGACCTCCTTATAAGTCATTTCCCACCGACTCGCCGCCGACTCGGGCTCTTTCCGTCCCGGAATCGTTTCCGTGAAAAGCCGGCCTTAAGACGGAAACTGCGGCGCCGGTGGTGGCCTTGCCGTGCTTTAGAATCTTGTCCTCTAATTCCGTGCCACCTTGGACGAACGGAGAAGGTGGAACGGTTCCATTAAAGACCGGTACGGACCGAGCGGACATTGTTCGCCAATCGGCGACATTCGTCCGGCGAGCAAAGGCGAGACCGAGCGAACGCTTTTTCCCGACACACGGTGGCTAAAGTGGCGAAAGTGGCGAAAGCGGCGAAAGCGGCGAAAGCGGCGAAAAAGCTAGCCAAAGCCTGAAAAATGAAATTTGTATTTCGGGATTATCACCGGATAATCGAACCACGAACGCGGAGAGGTGACTTCTTGGACTTGTTGGACGGTTTATCGATTCCGCGTCCGCCTGGCCCAGAGAAATCTCATTTATTCGGGGCGTCCAAGTTGGGTCTGCGTTTGCGAAATCTTGCGGAAACGAGTGCCGGTTATCTCCTGTATCTCGTGTTCTTAAGCCGTGAAAATATTTGTCGAGCAGTCTGCGGGAGATACCCGGCGGTTTTCGCGGGCCACTCGTTTCGGCCGGCTCGTCGGAGGACCGAGACGGAGCGTCTACGCGTCCATGGGTGTCGCTTAGCGTCGTTTAGCGTCGCGACGCTGCCCGCCGAGGGGTCGTTGCCCCGCGAGCAACGGCCTCCGACTCGACGCGGCGATGCGCGAACCTAAGGCCGCGTACAGACTGGCAACCGCGTCGAGCAACCGCAACCTCGTCGCTTAACGTCATGCCCCGTTTTCGCTTGCAACCTCGTCGAGCAACGCAACCGCGTTTGGAACGAATATCGCGCGACGCGTATAATGAACGTAGGTATTTAGAAGAATCTTTCCGGGGGTACGTTTTCCCGTTCTCGAAAGTTTCCGTTTGCGCGCGATATCGTTCGATCTTCAGTGGCTCGGCAGATGCGTTCATCCTTAGCATCGAATAACGTTCGAGCGTACTCGGAGCGGGCGTTCGTCCGCGCAAAAATGCTTACGTCTCGATCCACCTTTAGAGGCCCGCTAAATCGGACCAAAGCGTTTCGGCCGACTGCCTCTCGTTACTCGCGATTCACGCGATTACGCAAGATACCGCACCCCCGAAGTATACGAAGGAGCAAATATTTGGTCGGAACGGCACGACTCGATAGGTCGACGTTGGGAAAGTCAGTTCCCAAGGAGCAAACTGACCGACTTCCCGAATCCTAGCCAGGGTTTCGTCGATTACACCTAGATAGCCAATCGATCCCGTCGATCGACTTCGGCTTGTCCTTCCGAGCAGGATTGGGTAAGTGAAATACCCAAGGTAATTTACGTACTTCTTTACGGGAAATTTCTAGGTATCTTACTTTACGAATTTCATACGAACGTTGTCCTTCCGCTTTTAAACATCGTTTACGAGGCTGACATTTAGAAACGTCTTTATTTTTCCGTAACATCCCGCGTCCTCGGACCGTCGTTATTCCTGCATCGGGTAGACTAATTAACTCCGAGATAATGTTATCGATATACAAGAAAACTGGTCATACTGGATATTCGTTTAAAATGCGAGATTGCAAGTAGAAGGTGAAAATGAATAGTTACCGTATGTATGTGTGTACATGTTTTTGTTTTAGTGTATAACAAAACTGGACACGGGCGCGCTTCCTTCCCGAGTTTCTCCTCGGACACATCGTCGGGTTCCTACTCGATTGCATCTGAAATTATGGATAAGGACGATTAAAATACAATCCATTCGTTATAATTAATTATACGATCTGTCTCTCTCCCCCTGAATTACGATGACATTAGAAAATATGCGCATTTTGTAACGTTGCAAGTCGTATCGGTTGCAAGCAAATAAAATGGATCGGGTCTTGCTATCCTCGAGGCGTAAGTTTGAATTTTCCGTTACAACCTCGTGGAACGTGTAACGTAAAAAGGACGACTATTTTCGAAAACGTTACAAAGTCGTAACCACCGACGTGCACGTTATTGCCTTGTCGTATTACACGCGTTGCGCGGAGGGCGCTACATCACCTATTACGTCTTGTTTACCCGATAATTGCTATTTCAAGTTTTGCAATTGCATAGACGTCATAGACATTTAGAAATGTGCTAAAGAAGTCGAGAACCAGATCTTATAATTCAATGTAAATAATGGATAGTATTATAACCGTGAACATCGTTAACTTCACGAGCAGTCGGAGGGAAGACCGAAGAGGAGTCGGAGGAAAGCTCTGCGAGGAAGCGACGCCATCTCGACTGTTGTTATGTGCTGCAACAAACAAGAATCAATGTGTAGCTCCGTAAATGTGTATATACATTTTTTTATAATAAGGGAATAGCCCCTCGGACAGACTTCATTCGCGTAAAACGGATCCTCGCGGACCGGGTACTCCGCGCAAATTGAGGGACGGCTGTACGTTGACGCTTCGTTCGGCGCCTCGTCTAGATTATCCAATGATTTTGGCACCGGTCATGGCACTGTTCTTAAATAGCGGCGTTACCACGACCGGTGATGGATTCGATTTTGAACGCGACGGAGACGGGAATTCGGTGATTTCCAGTGATGTCTGCTTGCGATTTCAAGCCGATTTCCCCATGATTTCCTGAATGAATTTCCGGTTATAGCACTGGATTCTCCTTTCGTTTTCAAAACTTCGATGTATACGATTTGGTGAGAAATTACGAGTAATATGATCGCGTTTTCAGGGTGCAACGTTCCTTGACCAAGGAACGGATCGGAAAAAGGAACATAAAGGTTGAATCGGGTTCCGAGAAAATTCTGCCAAACCTATCATTAATTTGTCGTCATGTGAAATCAATTTCGTCGGGCGTGGCAAGGTAATAGGACATTAAGTGCCAGTTCCTTAATAGCTTTGAATTACGTTAACGTTCGACGGGATTTTATCGCGACTTCTAAAGGTTAAGTCACTCTGGACATGGATGACGCGATGCCGGGTGCAACGTTTCAATCCATACGTCATAAAACCTAATTGCTTATCCCGAACCGACTCATTTACCGATTTGCGATGCCGGATGATCGCGGGTCGATCGATGTCTTCCGTTCGGTAATCACCGAACCATGTTTCGTGTACATAGCTATGTAAGAGGTAATTCCTCATGAATTTCTGTTGGCCGAAACGTTCTTTCCGATCACCGGCGAGTCGTCGGAAACCTTCAATGTGAGTATCGTTCTCTCAAAGGTCGATACAAACCGAACAAACGTTCGATAATAATTGGGCGACATACGAATTCGCTCATTGTCGATAAAGTCAGTTTTGACGACTAAGCGAACATCCTGGGTACAAACGATCGGGGCTACGGAATGAAACGCTGCTTCTCCGTGATTCACACATTTTGTCCCCGCGTACATCGCGTTTAGTTTTCGATAGTTTCTCGTAATAACCTCGAAAAGGAGGGAGAAACTGTAACTTTGGGAAGGTAATCTAGCAAAAAGTCAAGAGTCCGCGGATATGATGCTTGCAGAATTCTACCGCAGTCAAGCTGAGATATCGTTCGTCGCCGTCGTCTAGGTGCTTCCCCGTATAAAAAGCAACGCGACTTCTTCTTCGCAAGCGTAGCCAAAAGTCTTGGAAGACGAAAATAAAACGCGGAGGCCATGCGACGAGCGCCGCGACGTCTCCTCCCTCGACTAAACAGGTGCGTCCCGATGCTCCGTCTCGGCAAAAACGCTCTTACGTTCTCTCGCGACGCTACTCTTATGCAACGTTCTCGCGTCACCGAAGAAGCGCGACCGTGGGGGCCGACTCACCTGTCAAAATTTTAAATCTCCTCTAAAAAAAGA